ATATAAATAAAAAAAAGAAAAAAAAAGAAAAATATATTTTATAGCAATTTATTGCTAATGTTTACAAGTATAATTATAGTTGTTTGTATATTGCATTTGTAACTAGAAAACCTGATAAACTTTCTTATTAATTTTGATAATTTATATGTAAATGACAGTTTTCTTTTTTCACCCCCCATCTTTATATTTTTATATCTCCGTTTCTTATATTACTGGACTCCTAGGACCTCTCACCTCCAACACAAGCACACCATTTTAAGTACAATGTTGAATAGAAATGTTAACAATGCGCATTGTTATGTTGATCCTAATTTTTAAAGGGAATGCTTTTAAAGTTTCACCATTGAATAAATTTGCAGTAGTTTTTTGTAGATACCATTTAACAGGTTAAGGAAGTTCCAGTTCATTCTTAGTTTGTCAATAGGATTTTTTTTTAATGAGTACTTTCATTAAATGTGTTTTCTGTATTCACTAAGATGACATGTTAATTTTCTATTTGAATTTGTTAATGTGAATTACATTAGAGATTTTTCTCGTGTTGCACTAATCTCACAGTCTTAGGATAAATAAAAACTGCTGGATTTAATTCATTAACATTATATTTAGGAATTTGGCATTTTGTTCATGAATGAGATTGGTTTGTAATTTTTCCATTCTCATGTTTCTGTTTGATTTTGGTGTCATAAAATGAAGTGGGAACGATTTCCTTTCAGATTATTTTCTGACAGAGGTCATACAAGAAACTATATGTTTTTAAATATTTGGCACAACTTTCAGATAAAACCGTTTGAGACAGCTGTCTTCTTTGAAAGAAAAAATTTAACTGATACAATCTTTTAAATAGTTATAGAATTATTCCAGTTTGCTGTTTCTACTTGTTAATATTGTTAAGTTATGGTTTTTTAGGAATTTTTCTATTTCATATAACTTTTCAAATTTATTTGCTTGAAGTTCTTATTTTTGGATTTTTAAAATCTCTGTTGCAGGGCGCCTGGGTGGCTCAGTTGGTTAGGCAACTGACTTCGGGTCAGGTCATGATCTCACAGTTTGTGAGTTCAAGCCCTGCATCAGGCTCTGTGCTGACAGCTCAGAGCCTGGAGCCTGCTTCAGATTCTGTGTCTCCCCTCTCTTTGCCCCTCCCCTGCTCACGCTCTGTGTCTCTCTGTCTCGCAGTAATAAATAAACATTACATTTTTTTTAAATTAAAATCTCTGTTGCATTTGCAGTTATATCCTCTCTTTTGTTCTAATATTGTTTATTTGTACTTTCTCATTTTCCTCTTGATCAATATTGCCAAAAGTTTGTCACTTCTATAAGTTTTTTAAAATAATCAACTTTTGGCTTTTTAATTTTCTGTTATGTCTTTGTTTTCTATTTAGTCTTATCATTATACTATTTCTTTCAATTTCTTTTGATTTTTTTAACGTCTGGAGTTGGATGCTCATCTCATATTTGAGTATCAGCACCCGATGTTATAAATGACCTAGTAAATAGGACTGATATTCCTCAGATGCACAATTGTATGGACATAAGGATTTTTAAAGTCTTTCCAGATTATTTGGTAAATAGACATTGCTCCTGGCTTTCTTAGTTTCCCCACCACTTATCTCATTGCCCTGGCCACCTCAGTCCCTTTCTCAGGAGGGCTGGGACCTACTAATCACCATTTAACAACTAAAGGGTTAATGCCTGACACAGCAGGAGGCCTTCAGTAATTTGGTGCCAGTCCTTGGGCCAGCTTCTGTTTTGACAGATCAGTGCCCCTGCCACTTCCATTTTTCTTACATTCTTCTCAGAGAACAAACTTCTTATGATTTCAATTCTTTGAAACATACTGAGATTTGTTTTTTGTACCAAAGAAGGTCATTTTTGGTAAACATTCCATAAGTGCCTGAAAAAAATATACATTTTAGTGTAGTATATCCTTCAATTAGTCATGTTTGTTAATCTGGTTCAAATGTTCTACATTCTTCTGGGTTTTTGTCTAATTGTTGATATGAAAAAAATTGTTGCTATCTGCTGGTAACTATGTCAATTTTGAATAATTGTAAATAAATTTGCAATTGTTATATCTTCCTGGTGAATTTAATATCTTATCAATGTGTAAGGAAATAATTTCTGGTTATTTAGTATCTTTGGTATTTTGCCCTACAATCAAAATTTTTTCTGATATTAATACATTTAGTTTATTATTTGCTTGGTATATCTTTTCTATACTTTCTAAAGATTGTTCTTGATAGAGATTTAATTCACACACCTTTTTAAAGTATACAACTTAGTGGTTTTTATCATATACACAAGGTTGTATACTATTACCAGTAATTCCAGAACATTTTCATCACCCTCAAAAGAAACCTCATACCCTTTGGAGTCATTCCAGTTCCCCCTTCCCCTCAGCCCCTGGCTACCACTAATCTGTTTATTGTCTCTATAGATCTGCCTGTTCTGGACATTTAATACAAATTGAATCATACAATATGTGGCCTTTTCTACCTGCCTGCTTTCATTGGACATAATATTTGCAAGGTTAATCCATGTTGTAGCATGTGTAGATATTTCATTCCCCTTTATAACTGAATGATATTTCACTGTACAGATATACAATCTATCTACTCATAAATTGATGGACATTTAGGTTGTTTCCACTTTTGGCAATTATGAATAATGCTTCCACGAACATCATTGTACAAGTTTTTGTGTGGATATATGCTTTCATTTCTCTTGGATATATACCTAGGAATAAAATTGCTGAGTCATCTGGTAACTCAATCTATGATGCTTTGAGGAACTGCCAAAATATTTTTCAAAGTGGCCAAACTGTTTTTCAAAGTTTTACATGCCCAAAAACAGTATTTGAGGGTTCCAATTTCTCTGTGTCCTCACTAGCACTTGTTTTTGTCCATTTTTAATTATATCCATCTTAAGTGGGTATGAAAGTATATCTCATGATGCTCATTTGCATCTCACTAATGACTGTAAACTAGTTCTATAACTATAAACTATAAAATAGTTCATAAACTACTTGGCCATTTGTATATCTTCTTTGGAGAAATGTCTATTTAAATTCTTTGCTATTTTTAAATTAGGTTATTTGTCTTTTTATTACAGTTGATTTTTTTGAAATTTTATTTATTTTTTTTAACATTTATTTTTTTTTATTTTTTTTTAAAGGGAAATAATGGCTGAATTTTATTTTTTTTCATCATATTTTATTTTATTTTTTTTATTTATATATGAAATTTATTGTCAAATTGGTTTCCATACAACACCCAGTGCTCATCCCAAAAGGTGCCCTCCTCAGTACCCGTCACCCATTTATTTTTGAGAGAGAGTGTGTGAGGAGGGAGGTGCAGAGAGAGAGGGAGACACAGAATCTGAAGCAGGCTCCAGGCTCTGAGCTGTCAGCACAGAGCCAGACGCAGGGCTCGAACCCACAAACTGTGAGATCATGACCTGGCTGAAGTTGGATGCTTAACAGACTGAGCCACTAATTTCCACTAACAGTCCAAGAGGGTTCCTTTTTCTTCAGGTCCTCACAAACACATGTTTCTTGTGTTATTGATTTTAGCCATTTTGAGAGATGTGAGGTGGTATCTCATTGTAGTTTTGATTCGCATTTCCCTGATGGTATGTGATGATGAACATCTTTTTATGTGTCTGTTGGTCATGTGTATTTCTTCTTTGGAAAAATGTCTATTCATGTCTTCCACCGATTTTTTTTTTCTGCTTCAGTGTTCAATTTCTTATATTTTCTTCCTTACATTTCTTTAAAAACTTTTTAATTATAGGGGCACCTGGGTGGCTCAGTCAGTTGAACGTCTGACTCTTGATTTTAGCTCAGGTCATTATCTCACAGTTTGTGAGTTCGAGCCCCACGTCAGGCTCTGTGCTGACAGTGTGGGTCCTGCTTGGGATTCTCTACCTCCATCTCTCTCAGTGTCTCTCCTCGGCTCTCTCTCTCTCTCTCTCTCCCAATCTCAAAATAGATAAACATTTAAAAAAATAAAAAAATAATGAATAAATAAAATTTTTATATTTTTACTTATTTTTTCAAATTTTTATTTAAATTCTAGTTAGTTAACATATAGTGTAATATTGTTTCAGGAGAAGAATTTAGCGATTCACTCACATGTAACACACAGTGCTCCACACAACTTCCCTCTTTAATATCCATCAATCATTTAGTCAATCCTCCAGCCACCTCCCCTTCAGCAACCCTTAGTACTATATAGTTAAAAGGCCCTATGGTTTGCTTCCCTCTCTTTTTGTCCCTTCCCATATGTCCATCTGTTTTTTTTCTTAAATTCAACATATGAGTGAAATCATATGGTATTTGTCTTTCTTTGATTGGCTTATTTTGCTTACTTAACATAACATACTCTAGCTCCATCCACATCTTTGCTAATGGGAAGATTTCATCCTTTTCAATGGCTGAGTAATATTCCTGTGTGTGTGTGTAGCAATTCTTTATCCATTCATCAGTCAGTGGACATTTGAGCTCTGTCCATAATTTGGCTATTGTTAATAATGCTGCTATAAACATCAGAGTGCATGTACCCCACCAACTCAGTATTTTTGTATCCTTTGGATAAAAACAGAGTAGTGCAATTGCTAGGTCATAGGGTAGTTCTGTTTTTAACTTTTTGAGGAACCTCCATACTGTTTTCCAGAGTGGCTGCACCAGTTTACATTCCCACCAACAGTATAAGAAAGTTCCCCTTTCTACACATCCTTGCCAACATCTGTTGTTTCCAATGTTACCAATTTTAGCCATTCTGACAGGTGTGAGGTGGAATCTCACCATGGTTTTGATTTGTATGTCCCTGATGATTAGTGATGTTGAGCATCTTTTCATGTGTGTGTTGGCTTCTGTCCTTTTTAAATTGAATTATTTGGTTTCGGTTGCCAAGTTGCATAAGTTCTTTATATATTTTGTATACTAACTCTTTATCAGATATGTGATTTGCAAATATCTTCTCCAATTCTATAGGTTAGTTTTCAGTTTTGTTATTTCCTTCACTGTGCAGAAGCTTTTTATTTTTATAAAGTCCAAATAGTTCATTTATGCTTTTGTTTCCCTTGCCTCAGAAGACTTATCTAGAAAGAAGTTACTATTCCCAAAGTCAGAGAAATTATGGCCTGTGGTATCTTCTATGATTCTAAAGATCATAGGTCTAACATTTATGTTTTTAATCCATTTTTAATTTTCTTTGTGCATGGTGTAAGAATATAATCCAGTTTCATTCTTTTTTTTTTCAATATATGAAATTTATTGTCAAATTGTTTCATACAACACCCAGTGCTAATCCCAAAAGGTGCCCTCCTCAATA